TTTCTAGAGCATCCGTTGTTGACCGGGCCTTCCGGAATCCAAATTGATTTGGTGAGAAGCCTCCGGCGCTAGCAATAGCAGCCTTCAGTCTAGAGCAGATCAATTTCTCAAACACCTTTCCTATGGTGTCTAAGTGGCAGATCGGTCTGTATGAAGATGGCACGTCTGGTGGTTTGCCAGCCTTGGGTAGCAATTCCAGGTTCTGGGTCTTCCATTTTGCCAGGAACGTCTCTTGTACTAAGCATTCGTTGAATAATTCGGCGAACGTAGGATCAGGCATTCGTTAAATAATTCGGCGAAGGTACTTGGGTGCAAGGCGAGGGCTAGCTTTAGCGCACGTTTTGGGATCCCGTCCGGCCCTGGAGCTGTGTTGGCTTTAAGACCTCAGAGAGCTAATAAGATTTCTTAGTCTGTAACTAAAACAATTTGAGTGCTCGTTGAGCCCTGATTAGCAGACTCGGACTCCGGGGCATGAATGGAGCTTAATCTTTCTGGAAAGAGCGTTTCCACAATCGATTTAAGCTCCAGACGATCCGTCGGCTGCACCTGTTTAACTGCGTATAGTCTTTTAACTACTATTTTATACGCCCTGCCCCAGGGGTCATATTCGGCTGAGTCGCACATTTCTGGAAAGCATTCTCTTTTGCTTGCCCGAATGGCCTTTTTCAACTGTCTTCTGGCTGCCTGGTAAGCTAATTGTTTTTCGAAAAACGTAGACCTACCCCGAGCCCGTTGATAGCTTCTTCTCGCCTGGATGCATTTGCGTCGAATGTCACCTATTTGTGCATTCCACCAATACGTAGGCTCTTGTCGCGTGAACTGCTTGCGACGTAACATGCTGCTATTGCAGGCACTCTGCATTTGGACCACCATTTGGCATGCTCTGGCCTCAGCATTACCAATTGTGCCCAGAGACTGAATGGCCTCTGAAAAAGCCGCGGGATCAAAAGTATCCAGCCGATACGATTCCCTCCACAAGGTTGACGCCCAGGCAGGTGGCTCACCTATTGTGAACAGAAGTGCCGTATGATCGCTGCCCGTATAGCTATCGCAGTGGCTCCATGTTGCTTCCTGGACGAGGGATGAAGTGACAAAAGTAATGTCAATTACAGATCCGTATCCAGCCCGGCTGAAGGTGAACTCGTGGCCAGTGTTGAGCAGTACAACCCCGCTACCCCATTCTAACGCCCATGAGTTAAAATCTCCTGCTATAATGGCCTTCCGACCCCTAGCATCCTCGGCAAGCTCGTCAAGCGCCGTTGTGAAACCGTATTGGCCACGTACGAACCCATTAAATGACTTAACATTCGAAAGAACATTCATTGTGTTGCCACATACCTACGACACCGCTTTGCCATTAGCATGTGTTGCCCATGTCCTAGGGCAGCTGGTTCTACAGTAGTGAGGCTCACTGAGAAATGCTACGTACATTTTTCCCTTATGGCTACATTTTGGTGGATTTGTGCATGCTTTTGCACTGTGACCCATCTCTCCACACCTGAAACAGGTGCCCTTTAGGTCACAGTCGCTGCCGCAGTTTGCTGCCATATGACCGTAATCGAGGCACTTGAAACAGCGTTTTGGCTGGTCCACGGCGCGGATACGCCATACAACCCATCCAATTCTGATTTGGGACAGCTCGAGCAGAGTAGAGAGAGCAACAGTAGCTCTGTGCTGTCCCCCAAAAGTCTGTCGAAGCGACTTGATAGCCTCAATGGGTGAGCTATCCTTCAACTCCGCCCTAATTGCCGCCAAGATCTCCTCTTTGCTCGCTAACTCATCTAGGTCACGAATCTCAAGTTGAGCCGATTCGGTAAGTGTTTTAACTACCGCTTGGTCACCCAAGGCCTTGCCTACAGCTTCGTGAAGGGCCTCAGCGCTATGCTCCGGCTTTCTGCTCAGTTGAAACAAAAGATCCCCCTTGCTGCCTTCCTAATGCCTTGAACGTCGCCGCTCAGATGCTTTAAATTTGGGTCGGTCTTGACCTCACGCTGCAACCACCCACGCCTGAAATCGCGATTGCGTCACTTCTGGGTCGTTTTTGCATGGACTTGCGTCCTTTAACGACTGTCTAGCTGTAGCCCGTAGAGCCATTGGCTCTTTTGGGTTCGCTACGCTTTTATTGGGCCTTGGCTTTTTTGACGGTGTTTTCCTCTGATCGGTGGTAACTTCCCTCGACCGCTTGGGAGTATTGCTACCTGAGCTCGCACTAGTGCTCGCTTTTCCCACTACTTTCTGGAGCGGCATGGTCTGCACCTCGCAGTTTTGAACCGATTGGTTGCAGAGCTTTTCGGCCGTCTTATGGAGATTGAGCAGCCTAGCCAACTCCTCCCTCATTAGGGCATTAATATGCCGCTGACCCCTAAATAAGGCAGTCAAGCCATCTAGAGTAACTCCTATTTGGGCTAACGCTTCTTTTAGTGAGTTGGGTGCCTGGCACTCAGCCACTGGGGACTGATTAAAGGACGACGGCTGCGGCAGCGCCCTCTGTTGTTGCTGCGGTGATCGCTGCAACGAGGAACGACGCGCGAAAGCTTGCGACTTCCGACTACAACGACGTGAAGCCTGTAGTGGGCAATGGCTACTAATATAATTTGAGTTTACAGACCGCAGTATCTTAAACTCAGCTTAACTACAGCAAGAGCCTGAAAGTATGCACTACTTTTAGTAACTGCGTCTTCACTCCAGATGTTAGGTTGCTGTCTTTGCTGAGACTTAGCAACTCACCAAAGTTAGTGAGCAGCTGATTGTCTGCTGCAATTTCCAGCACTACTAACAGCTGTTAGAGTGAATGCACCTGATTTTTATTAATTGCGCAAGTGTGACGCCTAGTGACAAAACTTTTCCCGCTTGAAAAAGAAAAGGAAAGAGAAAAGCCCTGACGCCAAAACAATGTCGCTATTGCCCCCCTCTCTTGAACCACTGGATTCTACCACCGGGGTACTCCACGAACCGCCGCGCAGTAAGTCTCTTTCGAGGTCGCTGGGTACGTTGCGCCCACAGCATACACGTTTTCTTTAGATATTTCCACTTTCGCAGGGAAAAACTCGGAACAAGCTATAGTCAACTATGGATCACAATAACATCGACCGCACTCCACGAAAACGCAACTCGATGCTTGTGTGTGTGTATGCGTGTGTGTGTGTCCGTGGTTGTGTCTTGTGTAAGCAGAAAGGCGCGAAAAATGGTTGAAACAGCTATTGCCCGACGGGTTCAGGGGATCTCGTAGTCGGGCAGTCTCGAAGAGAGCTTTCTTACTTGTTTTCATATGGCATTAATTTTTTTTAAATCGCTTAAAGTCACTTTTTTGATTTTTGTCACGCCACGCCGGCAGAATTGCCACTGTGCGTCGATTGACTTAACGGAAGTTAATAAAACTTTCAGCATATGATCTATATATTCTATTGAATATTTGACAAATTTAAAAAATGAACAATCATTCACAATAGTGGGCTAGGGTGACCATCTGAGCCGAAGCTCATTCCGGGACTGTCAACAACAACCAACCAACCACCAGTAACTTATTTCTTTCGCCTGACCACTGTGTCTTTAGTAAGGAAAAAAAACCTTTCGAAATTTGCGCATTGTGCGCTGGAATCACATGCAGGATCTGAGCTATTTTTAATACTTCCGAGTAACAGCACGAGTGTACGTTTGTTGCAAATAATTGTATTACCTTATCTGCGTTGTTTTTCTAAACAACATTCTTGACTTGTCTCGACACAAACTTCTTCAAGTTTTCATTTTGTCAAAATAATTTTTTTTTTATCGAAACAATAGAAAACCGGGACAATTTCGTGTCAGGTCGGGACACCGGGACATTACCTCCGAAAGCGGCACATGTCCCGGAATTTCAGGACGGATGGTCACCCTATACTGGCATCAACTTGAACTTGAATGTTATTATTCGGTAAAACATAACGGGATGATTTATCGAATTTTAATCGCAAGCTCGACATCCGCGCTGTGTGCACGGTGATTTAAAAAAATGGAGGTCTTATATCTTCTGAAATCGACGCGTGCAAACATACTGACAGACGGACACGGCTAAATTAACTTAGCTCGTCGCTCTGATCAAGAATATATATACTTTTTAGGGACTGTCACGCCTGCTTCTGCCTCTTACATACATTTCAACAAAATCATTATACCTAAATTTCGTATTTAAAATGGGTTCAGTGTATAAAAAGCGGGCATAAAGCTTCACACTGCGAGTCCGGTATATGTGTATATAGTTAGTGGTTATATCAAAACATGTTTAAAAATATATCGGCGGTACGGACGGTACGGCATTATTTTAATACTTATTCACGAAAGTGAAATAAGTATATTGGGTTTGTGAAATTTTCGTCTTGCTGTCCATCTGTACTGTGTACATCCGTATCGACCACCCAAGGGGGGCGTGGCAAATCGGATAAAACTGTATCTCCTTGACTTTTAGAGCTAAAACGTGAGCTAGTGTTATGATTCTACGATTATAGATTAATCAAGAAATGATGTCGACGCCCACTATGGGCGTGGCGAATCGGACCTGGAGATATAGTGATTTTTCAAATTCTGCTTTATCTTGGGGAGTATTAATGCTAGAGACTTGAAATTTAGTATATATACTCGAGCTGACCACCCAAGACCAAAAAGCTTCGACGGATATATGTCGGCTTACAGGGGCGTGGAAACCGCCGCAAAAGTTTATATCTCCTAAAGTTCAAGAGCTAGAAACAATTTATATAGTTTAATTACTAGTAACCTCCTCTTTCGATGACCAACAAATTGTTAGGGGTGTTCTATGAACTGGCCAAAATTGGTAAATTGCGGATAACTGCATTTTCTACATTATTAGAGCTAGAAACTTAAAACTTAGCTACCAAATTGCTGATGTGGTGTCAATAGGTATTCTGTAGTTGGTAACGCCCGACTGTAACGTTCTTACTTGTTTATCCGTATGATTGAAATAAAATAAAAAAGTCCACGAACTTTATTTTGTACATAAAATAAGATACCTGTGCATTAATGAAACGGAAGCACGACGTTGCTCAGTTAAATTTTTTGTTGTAATCCTTATACACGCCTGGGCATTATCTATGGTATTCTGATGTCGTATGCAAAAGTTCCGTTGTCTACGTTCAATAACTTCACAGCATTCTAAATTGCTATTTTAAGAGTTAGCTTATTAGATACAAATATTTGATTAATTTATTTACCTGGTAAATTGCTTTGACAGCTGCACCGCATTGTCATCATATGGCCGATGATAAGGAACTGCGATAATTCCGTTATTAGATGAAATCGAGATAACATCAGAAGTTAAATTTAAAGTTGATTCGTCCCATGGACATATAGACTTATCTGCCGGTGCTGGTAAGACGTCCCCAGTAGTTTCTAACTGAACGAACTTTATGCTCGGTGATTCTCTGCGTAATATAAGAACAAATTTTGAAAATATTTAATATGTATTTCAGATATGCATATTAAACTTTCAGTAAGTAAACTTATGGTGGTCTCCTGTCGTTTAAGATACTGTGCATCAAGCATGGCAGTGGTATAGTTGGGTCAATGTTAGGTCAATGTACGCCATCTTTTAATTGCGTAGGCTCGAGTCCCGCCAATGTTAAGTGCTATAACTTTTGCCAGCCATGTTATTCGACTTTCTTTTTTCCAGAAACGTATGTATTACCGAAAGTATTTAACATATTTTTATATCCTCTGCTCTCTCAAATATATAGTGCTTAGTGATTTTTATACCCTGAACCCATTTTCATTGGGAAATCAGGGTATAGTGGTTTTGTTGAAATGTATGTAACAGGCAGAAAGAGGCGTGGCAGACCCCACAAAGTATATATATTCTTGATCGGGGCGACGAGCTGAGTTGATTTGTCTGTCTGTCTGTCCGTCTGTCCGTATGTATGAACGCGTCGATTTCCGAAGATATAAGAGCTAGAGCTTCAAATTTTTTTTTTAAATGTCCGTAATTACAGCGCGCATATCAAGTTTATCATTAAAAATCGATAACTCATCCCGATCTTTTTTATCGATAAAAAACCTTATCGAAAACCAGTTATAAAATTATATCTTCTACACCTTTATTGCTAGAGTCTCCAAATTTTTAATGTATGCTTATATGCAATTTATACAATTTGGTTTTTGTTAAAATTTACCCCCCACCTCTAAATTCCCTCCCTCACTCTCACTTTTGTAAAAAACGTATTTCAAATACTAGAGACTTGTGCTTTGGCAATTACATGCATATTCTTGTTATAATCATAATCTGAAAGTTTCATGAAGATCGTACGTCCATAAAAAAGTTATTAAGCAATTAAATTCTCATAGTAAGCGCACACTGCAGACCATGCGTGTTTATGCGTGGGTGCTTGTGTGTGTATGCGTGTTTGTGTTTTTTTTTTTTTTTTTTTTATTCATTTATTGACAAACTTATATAACAAATTGCAAGTTGCGTGGTGGCTAGGATAGCGCGCGGTGCTTGCGGGACGGCCGTAAAGCATTGCTTCGCTAACACTATGCGCTACCTTAGCCTGGGACAGCTCGTCTTCTCAGTCGCTCGACTCTGCGGAGCTCTATCATCACCGTGGCCGCGAAAGTGCTTGTTAGTTCCCAAGCTTCCTCCGATTCCAGCATGGCGTTGACTAAGTTGTCCGCTCTGATGGAGCGGCCCACTGCCTTTTCCAGACGACGCCTCTCCTCCAGGAACCGTCCACATTCGAAAATAATGTGCTTGGCGTCTTCCACATGCCCTCGCTCGCACCAGGGGCACTCGTCAGATTCCTCGTGGCCAAAGCGCTTCAAATAGCTCCGAAAGCATCCATGACCCGAGAGGATCTGCGTAAGGTAGAAGTTAACCTCGCCATGTTTGCGGTTAACCCATGGTTCAAGCTCCGGGATGAGCTTGTGCGTCCACCGCCCTTTAGCTGAGCTATTCCACCTTCTTTGCCATCGTGCGATGCTGTTCGCCCTGACAGCGTTGAGTCGCGTAGGCCCGTGCGAATTCCGCTCCACGGCTTCGGCGACCAAATAATCCAGTGGCACCATACCGGCTATGACGAGCGCCGCGTCATCGGAGATAGTCCTGAAAGCGCAGCTGACTCTGATTGCGCTCAGCCTGTAGATCGCGCAAATGCCTCGGCTGTAGCTCGGCGTTGCCATCGCTCTTGCCCATATTGGCGCAGCATAGAGGATGACCGACCTAATGACGCTCATTAGGAGGAGACGTCGTTGCTGTTTAGGTCCCCGCGTGTGAGCATGATTCTCGAGAGAGCTCTACAAGAATCAGCTGCCTTTTTATGCACATATTCTAAGTGCTCGCGGAAAGTTAATCTTGTGTCTATCATGACACCAAGATATCTTACCGCCCTCTTTGACGCAATGGTGACGCTGCCGATCTTTATATTGGCAGTTTCCACTCTTTTGCGACTGCTGACTAGTACAACTTCGGTCTTGTGTGCCGCTAGCTCGAGCCCAGCTCCTGTCAACCAGCTTCGTATGCGATTGAGACTTTCGCTGCACATATCCTCTGTATCTTTGAGCTCCTTTCCTATGGCTACGACAGCTACATCATCAGCAAAGCCAATGGTGTGCGCGCCTGCTGGTAGTTCCAAGCGCAGTACGCCGTCGTACATGATGTTCCATAGGAGAGGCCCCAGCACTGAGCCTTGGGGTACTCCAGCTGACACTGTATGAGTTTGGGGACCCTCACTCGTGTTGTATACCAGTGTTCTTCCTCTGAAGTAGCTCTTTATTATCTCTCTTAGATATTTAGGGATATTATATTGTGACAGCGCATTCAGTATCATATCCCAACTAGCTGTGTTGAAGGCATTCCTTACATCCAGGGTCGCGATGATGCAGTATTCCTTCGTCCCGTGCCTCCATCTGGTGCCTTGAATAGCGGAAGTGGCCAGACCGACAACTTTGTTAAGCGCGTCCGTTGTTGACCGGGCCTTCCGGAATCCAAATTGGTTTGGTGACAGGCCTCCGGCGCTTGCAATCGCAGTCTCCAACCTAGAGCAGATCAGTTTCTCAAACACCATTCCCATGGTGTCTAAGAGACAGATCGGTCTGTACGAAGATGGCTCATCTGGTGGTTTGCCAGCCTTGGGTAGCAATACCAGATTCTGGGCTTTCCATTTTGCCGGGAACGTCTCTTGGATCAGGCATTCGTTAAATAATTCGGCGAAGGTACTTGGGTGCAAGGCGAGGGCTAACTTTAGCGCACGATTTGGGATCCCGTCCGGCCCTGGAGCTGTGTTGGTTCTAAGACCTCGGAGAACTACTGATATTTCTTCCTCTGTAACTAAAACAATTTCAGTGCTCGTTGAGCCCTGATCAGCAGACTCGGACTCATTCATTCTCTTTTGCTTGCCCGAATGGCCTTCTTCAGCTGTCTTCTAGCTGCCTGGTAAGCTAACTGTTTCTCAAAAAACGTTGACCTACCGCGAGCCCGTTGGTAGCTTCTTCTCGCCTGGATGCATTTGCGACGAATGTCACCTATTTGCGTATTCCACCAATACGTAGGCTCACGTTGTCGCGTGAACTGCTTGCGGCGTAACATGCTGCTATTGCAGGCACTCTGTATGTGGGCTACCATTTGGCATGCTCTGGCCTCAGCATTACCAATTGTACCCAGAGACTGAATGGCCTCTGAAAAGACTGCGGGATCAAAAGTATCTAGCCGATACGACTCCCTCCACAATGTTGGCGCCCTGGCAGGTGGCTCACCTATTGTGAACAGAAGTGCCGTATGATCGCTGCCTGTATAGCTATCGCAATGGCTCCATGTTGCTCCCCGAAAGAGGGATGAAGTGACAAAAGTAATGTGGATAACAGACCCGTATCCCGCCCGACTGAAGGTGTATTCATGGCCAGTGTTGAGCAGTGCAACATCTAGTGTCGCGAAGATCTCCAGTAGGATACGACCTCTGGCATTTGTTGTGGGGCTACCCCTTTCTAACGCCCATGAGTTAAAATATCCTGCTATAATGGCCTTCCGACCCCTAGCATCCTCGGCAAGCTCGTCGAGCACCGTCGTGAATTCACTGAGCTGCATGCTGGGGGCCAGATAGCAACTGTAAAGCCATAAGCTACCATATCGGCCACGTACGAACCCATTGAATGACTTAACATTCGAAAGTACGTTCGTTGAGTTGCCGCATACCCACAACGCAGCTTTGCCATTAACGTCTGTTGACCATGTCCTAGGGCAGCTGGTTCTACAGTGGTGAGGCTCACTGAGAAAAGCTACATCTATACATTTTTCCCTAATGGTCTGCTCTAGAAGATCTTGGGCAGCAACACAATGATTTAAGTTAAGCTGCAAAAACCTTAACATTTCATTTTACGAGCAGCTTCACGGTAGGATGGGCACTTGAAGCTGCCTGCTGAATGGTCCGTCTGCTTTTCACCTTTCCGGATGCAGAGACTACATTTTGGTGGCTTGGTGCATGCTTTGGCACTGTGACCCATCTCTCCACACCTGAAACAGGCGCCCTTTAAGTCACAGTCGCTGCCGCAGTTTGCTGCCATATGACCATAATCGAGGCACTTGAAACAGCGTTTAGGCTGCTCCACGGCTCGGATACGGCAAACTACCCATCCTATTCTAATTTTGGACAGCAGAGTTTTAGCTTTCCCAATTGGAAGAGCAACCGTAGCTCTTTGCTGTCCACCAAAAGCTGGCCGAAGCGATTTGATAGCCTCAATGGGGAGTGAGCTATCCTTCAACTCCACCCTAATGGCCTCCAAGATCTCCTCTTTGGTCGCTAACTCATCTAGATCGCGAATCTCAACTTGGGCCGATTCGGTAAGTGTTTTAACTACCGCTCGGTCTCCCAAGGCCTTGCCTACAGCTTCGTGCAGAGCCTCAGCGCTATGCTCCGGCTTCCTACTCAGTTGCAATAAAAGGTCCCCCTTAGCTGTCTTCCTAATGCCTTGAACGTCGCTGCTCAGATGCTTCAAATTTGGGTCGCTTTTAGCTACACGAAGCATGTCCGCATAGCTGCGACCCCCTACGCCTGAAATCGCAATCGCGTCAGTCCTGGGACGTTTTTGCATAGGCTTTCGCCCTTTAACGACTGTCCAGCTGCTCTGGTTTGTCTGTCGAGCGGCCTGGTTTGAAGTTTCAGCTGTAGCCCGTAGAGTCATTGGTTCTTTTGGGTTCGCTGCACTTCTATTGGGCCTCGGCTTTTTTGAGGGAGTTTTCCTCTGTTCGGAGGCAACTTCCCTCGACCGCTTGGGAGTATTGCTACCTACTGTAGCACTAATGCTCGCTGCCTTAACGTTTTCGCCTGCTTTTTTAAGTGGCGTGGTCTGCACCTCACAGTTTTTAACCGAACGGTTGCAGAACGCTTCGGCCGTCTTGTGAAGGCTGACCAGCCTAGCCAGCTCCTCTCTCATTAAGGCA